AAAATGTTTGTTACCTTAAAAATATTAAGCAATAAAACATTAAATTAATTTAAGAATTTACTTTTGAATAATAACATTATTATTAGTTTTATTTATCTCATTTTAATAAAAGTATGTACTGCCCCAACTTCCCCCCCCCCTTCTCCTAATAATTTTTCTAACCCTAAATTTTGTTTTTAAGATAATAATGTTAACAGAAACCTGTAAATCATTATTTAATAATCTCTTAGTAAACTACTGCAGTATAAAACATACACTACTGCAGTGTAAAACACTACTGGAATGTAATAAACTTTAAACAAATTTGGTAGAAAGTGAATAAAATATTTCTTTAGGTCAAGAGTTGGACCACTATGCTAATGTATTTATTTCAACATTAAAAAGATATTTTCATGAAACTTACAACACGGAGTTAGCGGCATCTTTTATTTCAATCTGCAAATCAACTTGTGTAAGTTAAGTTTTTTTTATTATTAATAAATATTTTAAGAATTCATTCATTCAAGGTTTTTAAAAATTTTTTTTTTTTTTTCACCACTAGATATTAAAATGCTTTTTTTAGCTTTGTCTTTAACAGTTTTTAAAACTAGGGGATTGGAGAGGAGTTGATTTAGATTTTATAGGGACTCTTCTCAAACAAATATGTAATATTTACAAATTTAAATTTTTTTTTAATGTTGTCTTGCTGGGAGGAACAGCGTTGTCTTGAACAAAAAATTGAACAAAATGACTAGTTAAAGTAAAAGGGGGGAGTAGATTATAACAGGGATGCGGAGTTCCAAAAAGGACTCCAGATTTGAACGTCACAAAAAAATTAATTCTTCATAGTTTTTGGTATCCAGGAGCGCTAAAAATATAAAAAGGTTTATGGACTATTTATAGGAAAAAAAGCTAAGACTTTTAGGTGAGAGGAACAATCATTTTTTGAGCCCAGGGTCCTTAGGTATAATGGCGGCAAAGACTCTGGAACTCCAGGACTCCGGGCTTAAAAACAATAAGTTCCAACTCATTAAACCACATGATTTTTTTCCTTATAGCAGATCATAAGTCAACAAACATGTTTAGAGCTTTTAGTCACTACAGACCTGGGAAAAAAAAAGAGATATAAAGCCGAAGTCCTTTTTGGGACTCTGCATCCCTGTATTATAATTTAAATTTTTTTTTGCAAAATTTTTTGATGGACGTATTATTTATTATGTGAAATTATAATCATTACATATTTGTTTAAAAAAACTTGCGTTTTTGTGATTCATTACATATTTGTTTAAAAAAGTGCGTTTTTGTGAAGGTTGTTTAAAAAAAGTTTTTTTTTTCTTATTTTAGATAGGAAACATGTTTCTGTAAAGTTTTTCATTTTTTTTTACTGTTTTTTATAGAATTTCAAAAATAATGAGACTCTCTTTTGTGAGTTTTTTAAGACTCCAATCATTAATATTCATAATAGTGCATAGTTGCCTAGGAAACAAAATGGTAAAAACTGTAAATTATAATGTGTCAACCGTAATGATGTTTAACTGTAAATAACATTTTCTTTTCACCCCTTAACAGTGGAAGAACTTTTTGTGGAAGATCGTTTTCTATTTGAATCCATTATTTTAAATTTTTTTTTTTTGTTTTTTTTTTTTTTGTTTAAGTAAATTTCTTAACTGAAAAAATTATTCAGTTTTGCCTGAAATTTCAGTCTTCAAAAAAAAAGCTTACTCAATGAAGGCTATATCCCTCCTTCACATTTAAGTTCCACTTTACCTTTGACAGATATAACTGCCATTTACTGTTAACAACAGTTGTTAATAGGAAATGAGTTTTTTTTCTTAATTTTTTATTTTCTTATAATTTTTTACAATTACTTATAAATAAAATTATATAAACTAAACAAAATGAAGAAAATTGTGGAATAAAATTATGACTTCAAAAAACGTTGACATTAAAGATAAGAAACATGAAAAAAACTTGCTTATTAGAATTCATAGGAAAGGGATTTACTCACAGAACTTTCAACATATGGAAATATACTTTGATCATCAGTTTTAAGACAATAGTGTCATAATAAATTTTTTAATAAAAATATATGGCAAAACAAGAAGCAAGTTGTGTTATTGCCTAGTGCCAAAAGCAAATGCTAAATTTAAAGCTAATATTAATTCTGAAAAGATTATGGTGGACAAAATTATAAATGCTTGGAAAGTTGTTTTTTAAATATTTTTAAACAAAGAAAATAAAGAGTCTACATAAGAGCTAGATAAACTGTTTAACATTTTAAATTGTAAATGCCTAATTTCTAGTGTAAAGTCATTGGTAAACAACATAAAATATATACAAGTGATTTAACAAATACTGATACTTTATCATTCTAAATGTCACTGCAGACAACTTTCAGAAGACTGGGTTTCTTTTCATTTTCTAACAAAAAAAGTGATTTTCAAAATGTTTGATCATTGAATCTATTGTTGTTGTATATCATCCTTGCTGGTTTCAAATAAAGTTAATACACTACTAGTTGGATGAACCTAAAATAATTAAATTTTTTTCAATCTTATAGATTACAGAGGGGGCGGGGGGAGGAAGTTGCGTTAATATATAATTGTAACTTTTGTACGTAATTGTTCTACTTTTAATATACTATCTCTCATATTTAAATATAAGCTTATACTTTTCTTGTTCGGCAGAGTTTAAAATAGCGTAAGTTACTTTTATTATTTACAACTTTAGTTATAACTTAAAGTTTAAGTTGCAGTTGTAATAAGCAATAACATTTTTAATACTATTAAGATATTTCTTTAAGTATATATTTTACTTAAAATTATACTTAAAAAAGTAAAAGTAAAAAAGTAAGAGAAAAAGCAACATTGCAATATCCTTGTAATCAGTCAAAGAAAACTATTTAATACATTCGTGCTGACGTTAAAACACGTGTTAATTTTAAAAAGTATTTAGTTGTTAAAAGCTATAAAACAACATTAAAACAAACTGCAAAGTTGTTTTAAAAATATAAAGAGCTTGGGTTAATGTAAAAACAAATTTGTGACGCTGTTTCATGTTGATTTATACAATTTATAAAATAAAATGCGTTTAAAATAAAAGGAAGCAAATAAATAAAATTGATGTTGTTAATAAACTAAAACAAAACTTCATATTTGTGCCTATAGACCTATACGAGTTTATAATATATGGACCAAACGAGTAAGATCAAAGCATAAAAACATTAGATACCACGTCTTTTATAAATTATCGTTTCCTGATCAAGTGTATGATTAAAAATTTAAGTATAATTAAGTTTTTCATTCAAATGGTTTTTAAACTGATGTTTTCATTCAATTTTTTTTTATTCTAATTATTTTCCAAAAAAAAGTGCAACAAAAAATTTTGTTTAGTAAATCGAATTATATTAAGTATAAGAATATGCTTAAATTATTTTTTTAGAAAAAAATTTTTTCAAACTGAAGTAAAATAATTTATTAAATTTAATTTACATTTTTTATAATTTTTATTTTAACTTGCTATTTGCAATCACTGCTTTGATGTTTGCAATAGAATGTTTCTACTTTTAAAACTATTCTCAAGAAAAATATATAATTCAAAACATTAAAAAAATTTACGATTTAAGAAAAAAAAAATGGTGTCGCGTTTTTCATATTCTATTCGACAATTTTTGTTAAAATAATTATTAGTTAAAAGCTTATATTATGTGTTAACAACATGTAAGATCTAAATTAAAACATGTCTATGGCTAACTTTTGCAAGTATATTAAACTAATTAATATAATTGTTTAATTAATACTTGAGCAACTGTAAGTTACTATCTTAACTTAACTGGTTGTTTTGATTTAGGTTATAAGTTAATTTACTGTGATATACTCTATCCATTCAGTAAAGTTAACTAAATATAACTTCAATAGTTTCAAGGTCGTTAAAAACGAAAAACGTGAAATTAAAAAAGTTGCTGGTTTCTTTTAGCACAATTTTACTAATAGAAATTTTATTTAATAAAAACAAATTTATATATACTTTATTATACTTAAAGTAAAAAATAATTATATAAAATTGTTTATAAAATAATAATTTAAATCATTATTATTAAGTTAATTTGGAGCGTTTCTTTTAAAAAAAGATAAAAAAATAGAATGAAGAAAAAATTATTTTTAACTTTTGTTTTTTTAATTTGCTTCTACGCAGAGATTTAAAGTAGTTTAAATTAAAAAGTGCTTTACGTTGAATAAAAATCTCCGAAAGAGCAAATGATCATGCTTCAAAAGCAAATGATCATGCTTCATCAAAAGACAAACTTTACTATGAAAACATTACTTTTAAGAATTGCCAAAAAAAAAGGAAGCTAAATTAGAAAAGTAGTAAATAAACAACTAAAAAAGTAGACCAATCGCGAAAATATATGTTTTAAGAAAAAACTAATAGCGAAGGTGTAAAAAGCAATCGCAATTCGCGATCGCGATACGCTTAATTTGAGCCCTGATATATATATATGTAAGTGTACATATATATATGTATAATATTTTATTCTTAAAAGAGTGCTTAATAGATAAACTAGAGCTATATAGTATATATGTTACTGTTATCCGCAGTACCAGGAATTATCTAAATGCTAATGTTTATAATATAATTTAATATTGCAACTCTGAGTTTTTTGTGTTACCACAGGGCAAGTAGTAAAAGTTTAGTTTTGTTATGATTTGTTTAGTGGACATTACGGTTTATATTTGTATTTTCGATTGGCTATTATGCCAACCTTAAAGTGTTTGAGTTTAGCAAAAATCACCAACTTTGTTTCTATTTTTTAAGGTAACTCCTTTGTTTCAATTTTTTTTTTTTGCGATACTAAACTGATACTAACCTCTAAGAATTTAAGGTCGGCAATTTATTGCCGACCTCATTTTGCCTAATTCTGAGGACTGATATTTAGTTAAGTTTATTTAGTAATCTTTTAGTAAAAATTTTACTAAAAATGTTATAAAATTTGACAGAGCTCGGCACCAGGCCTTGCTATTGCTGACATATCTGATCCATATAGTTCTATTATTTGTGAGTGTTCAGATACTGCAATCTTGACTTGAAAGTATTTTGAGTTGATGGTGTTGCTGGAAAATGCATTCCATGATGCACAAACAAAATTTGTAAAAAAAGTTGAGTCTCTCTATACAGTTTTTGACTCGCTACAGTTGAAGCATAAACTCATTGTTCCGCCTTAAGTTGTATGATGCTGATTTGGAAAAGGGGTAACGTTGTGGTACATAGAAATCTACTTGATCGAGGTTTTGATTGATTTTGAGGTTGAATATATGAAGTGTATAATAATTTTCAGAGGAATACACCACGTCTTCTGAATGCTTTTTTTAGCACACCTAATTTCCAATTCGCTTTTGCTGCTGTTGCATCTACTTGTGATTTTAATTTCAAATCATCAGACACAAAAATACCAAGGTCACACTCAACTGTAGTACATTTTAATTGATGACAAAATCTGTCTTGGCCTAACATTGTGTAATTATGAGTTGATTTATTTTTTTTGTGACCAACATGCATAACCTTACACTTATCAAGATTAAAAAACATGTGCCAATCTCTAGTCCATTCTACGGCTTTGTCAATATCGTTTTGCAAAGAAAGGGCATTAGCTGGTGTTTTTATTATTTTCTTTATTTTGCTGTTGTCCGCATATAAATAAAATTTTTACATTTACATAATTTTAATTTTATGTTACATATTTACATTTCTATACATAAGTTTCCTAGATTTCGTTAAAAAAAAGGGCTCAAAAACTTTTTCTCATCTTTTTTGCTCTTTAAAGAATACCATTAGCCCTGTTTTAAAAATTGCTACAGATGATAATAGTTGTTGAACAGCATTGAATTTTAAACAGTATTATATTTAAAAATTTGCATGACTGTTTCCTATAAACTTATAAAACATATTAAATGTAATATTTGATAATAGAAAAAGGTTTTAATCCATGTTGATTAATTTCAAAAAAAAAAAGAAATGGAAAATGATTAATAGTTTTACCACCCTTCATTATTTGATTAATGTTTTTGATAGCGTCAATTTATTTTTTAAAAAATGTTTTTTTTGTTCTTTTTGTTGAGCTTTTTTTCACAAGACATCAAAAATATTAATGTCTTGTGAAAAATGGTTTCAAAGCTTAACTAAGTGCACATAACTTTAAACAGTTTTAAAAGTAATTTATTTGTATTTTTATATTTTTTTAACATGTCTTTAAATGTTCTCAAATAAATTTTTAGAATGTCACTATTGAATTCGTTGATGTATGGTTTTTAATTTTGGAAAAAAAAAGAAAAGCAGGTAAGAAATTTCTCAGTTTATATTTGCAGGCTATCAAAAATAATTTTGATTAAAACATCTAAATAATTTATTTTTTTTGCATTAATATTTACGAAGTTTCTATTTAGCACAAATATTATAATATAGTACTTGCTCTTTAAAATAAACAAAAATGTTTGTTAATTTTAATTCATGTTTTGGCACCATCAAAACCAGAGAAACCAAAAAAACATCCTCAGTTAAAATAAATTTAAAATGTCTAAATAAAATTGACATAAAATAGTATGAAAATATTTAATAATAATAATAAAAAATATAAAGTTGGTAGTAAAAAACAATAGAGCTCATTTGATATATAAGAGTAAAATAATACAATAACAAAAAGCATATGTTAAATAAATCAGTGATATTATAAGGAAGCATCAGTTTACATGTTCACTTCTGTACTAGGTTTTTTCCACTCAGTTTATATATTTTCTTTGAGTTTTAATTCAAATTTGTAGCACAAAATTGAAAAACAATTATAGTTAAATTTATCTTTTACAGTGAATATTTATCTCTTTGATTCTGAATGTTTTTATCTCTCCTATAACTTTTAATTCTGAATGTTTTTATCTCTCCTATAACTTTTGATTCTGAATGTTTTTATCTCTCCTATAACTTTTAATTCTGAATGTTTTTATCTCTCCTATAACTTTTGATTCTGAATGTTTTTATCTCTCCTATAACTTTTAATTCTGAATGTTTTTATCTCTCCTATAATTTTTGATTCTGATTTTAGCTAGTGAGCAGTTTCTCCAATATTTACACTTTGCGCATTCAAATTTGTGCATAACAAATAGTTTTAAATCTATAAGAAAAAGAATCTCATATAAAAAAAGCATGAAGTTTTCAATGCAGTGATAATTGCATTAATTTCTTTCTTTTTTTTTTCTTTTTTTTTTTTGGCTATTTAGATACATCTCCAATATAAGATATAATGTCAGTTTTTTAGGTTTTAACCTTTTGTAGGTGAAACTTTGACATAAGTTTTAGAAATCATGTTTACTTAAAAATCTATTGATTAAACATTTATTGGACTTAGTATGAAAATGAAGTACAGTTGTAAATGTTTGTTTTCCTGAAGACAGTTTTGTCCCTGAAGTTATTTGTTTTGCTGATAGTTAATTTAAAAAAAAATTTTTTGATCTTGTACAAAACAATAATGTTTACTATTGATATGGTCTAAAAATAAATTTTTCCAATTGAAAAAATAAAGAAAGACAAGCAGAAGTTCAGAATAAAGAGATTTATGTTAATGAGAAAAAAACGTATTCACAAATCATAATCAACAATAATTTATTGATAAAGTATAGTTTAAACAGATAACAATGGGTGATGCATAAGTTATCGAACAAAATAAAAACGTCAATAAGTTATTTATAAGTGAAAAAAAACTATTATATATATTTTTTTTAAATAAAGTATTTATCTTTTAATAAAAAATAAGTAATTTTTAAATGAAAAAACACCACCATCTGCAATTGATCTCAATTTTGCTCTGACGCCTTTCATAAGCGACTTTAAAAAATTTTAATTGATTTCTAGTAGTTTTAATTTAATTCAATCAATCAAAAATTGCTCTGTTGAAGCTTGCTAATCTCCCTCGTAAACCTTCTGTGCCAAATGTCTCCAAAAGTTTTCGATTGGTTGTGCTTGAGGCACATTTTGGGGATTGGATACTTTATCAATGTAATAGATTGTAATAGAATGGTCCAATTTAGAGAATCTTTAAAATAATAAGAACTTGATGAATTAATTGTTACAGCCTCCAAAGTGCGAAACAATAGCTAGGACATACCACAGTCAGATATGGCTATTCGCACTGATAATTCTTTTGGAAATTTCTCTTTTCCTATAAAAGGAACACTTTCTGGGCATGTTATTTTGTTGTTTGTGTAGTATCCAGAATTTCCAGGCATGTTTTCCCCGCAATACAAAAGTATTTTTTTGTCATTGATGACCAGAAGCATTTTTGTGTTATAGAGTTGATTAACTAGTTTCCTACTTCTTTTCTTTGTCTTTATTTGTTGTTCTATAGTGTATTTTGGAGGATTTTCACGTTTTCTATATTTAATATTCATTTGTTTTAATTGATGATCAATTTAAAACCTATTTTTTTCTGACTGACTCCTTTTAGATTGTTGACAAGTCTCGTTAATTCGGCTTTCTTTTCTCTAGTCCAGGATGTTGGACAAGCTGGGTGCTTTCTATCAGAAAAGGAATGTACAGTTTAAATAGTAAGTCTTTTTAGGTTATCATATATTACTACATACTTCAAGAATATCCTTCCTTTTCAAAATGATTTATGATTTCTTTTTCTTACAAAAAACATTTTGAATCGCTTTCGAAAAGATTCTCATTTAGCTGCATTTAACCTCATTTTAAATAACTGTGTATCAAATTTATATTTTATGGAATGTTTATGCCTGCGCATAAAACCACAAAAATTAGTTCTTATGCTCAAGTAATTAAATTTAGATTTGTCCAATAACTTTGGCATCACCCATTAGATGTTAAAGCAAACAAAACACATAAACTATGTGTAAAATAATACCCATAAATCTTTATTAAATACTAATGAACGAAATTTTAATACAAGTATTACTTACCAAAAACAAAAATATGTAAAAATAATTTATAAAATAAAACAAACATAAAGTAATATGGAATCTAAGAAAAAAAGAGAGAAAAAAGTTGATTTTTTTGCATTAATTAGTTTGTGTAGGTAATAAAATCTTGATCACAATCATGTTCAAATCATGATCAGAATCTATTACTCTTGTCAGATAAATATCATTGCCACTTATGCTTTACATGTGGTTTACGCCTGTTCTATATTGCTTTGGAAAATAACTTTGCTGCAAATGCCAGTCGAGGAGATTACTATAATTGTGGTTACAACCCTCTCTCAACTCTGAAACACAAACCTTGATAAGTAAGGCCGCTGCGCAGAGAAACAAGTTGAGTGCTTTACTACCAGGGATGTGGTGAAGATCAAACTCGAAACTTCTTGCATATGAGGCAAGCGCTCTACCCCTATACCACTACCGCATTTAATAGAATATCATTAAATATATTTAAAAATGGTAAGCTAGGCAATGTTACTTACTTTAAAATGTGTCCATCAGGTTCAAAAAAGTATTACATCTAAACAATTAGATAACAGTTTATTAAGCTACCTTGGATACCTATTATTGGTCCAAAACTACAAAGAGAATTTAGAAAACATTGCATCAGAGTTATATTTTATATATCCCATTTTTAATTATTTGTGTTATGAAACAACAAAACAAAACTACCTCCAAACTCAAATCAAAGTATATATAATGGCAAGATCAAAAAGAAAATTATTTTATGATATGTGGGACACCAAAGAGCCTGTAAAATTGAAAAATGGACAAGTTCAGGGGGCCACTAAACATTCTTGAACATGATGTGGTAACTTTGATTGGCTGAATCCTAAGTCTTTTTTCAGTCATTCTAGAATACTGGATAAGAAAAATCAAGGAATCCCTGGAGATCAACAAATCGAGAGATGTCGTATATATATATATATATATATATATATATACATACATACATACATACAAACATACATGCATAGATACATACAAACATACATTCTCTTTAGGTTTTGGCAACTTACAAAAAAATTAACAAAAGTAACATAAAATTGTAACAAAAAATTGAAAAGTATACTTAAAAACGGAAGAAATTAAATTGTTTAAGAAGTGAAAAAAAGTTATTTCATAATCATTTAATAATCATAACTAGGCAAATAATTTAAATTTAAATAAGCTTTGCTCAATTGCTCAGCTTTGTTAACTTGTTAGAACTTAACTTTAATTACATAATTTAATTACATAATTAGAACTTAACTTGTTAGGAAATATTTAACTTGTAACTTGTTAGGAAATAACTAACTTGTAACTTGTTAGGAAATAAGCTTAGCTCAATAAAATTTTAAAAATTCAAATTTTAAAATGCCTAACAAAAGCAAAAATCACAAAAATTGCTGCAGTTTTTCTATGTTCACAAAGAAGTGCTTACAACAATGTAATAACTGCGGAAAGTTGCTCGAAAAAATAGATTTAATTTTAATTATGAAAAGGTTCTTAAAGGAGTAATAACTGCGGAAAGTTGCTCGAAAAAATTGAGGTCACAAAAACATTTTATTGCCTGAGTTGTTTTAATTTTGATTCATGTCAACTGTTTGATTCAATTCATTTCAACTGTGTTTGATTCAATTCATGTCAACTGTGAATGTTTGATTTGCAAAATTGGAAAATGATATACTACGGCTGTTACACTCAATACAAAGGTTAAAAAATGAAAATTTTGATGAGACACGGTGAAACAACTTGTTTCACTGTGTCTCTTTTAACATGGATTTTTACTGTGTCTCTTTCAACATGTGTCTCTTTTAACATGGAGCCCGTGCACATATCTCCATACTCTTGAAAACTCCCATGTGTGCTATTGAATGAATTTATTGAATTTGCTAATTATTACTGCTTATCCAATCTTTACGCATAAAAAAATCTTTTGTAATTTAATGAAAAACATTTAATCATAGATAAATGTAAAAAACAATGATACAACATCGAGCTTAACATTTATGCAACAAACTGAAAAAAAATGCACAAAGCGTTAGTCAATTATTCATTAAATATGTCATTTCTGCACTGCTGGAAAAAGACATCAAAATTTGCAAACTTGATGATCTAATCTGACATGAACAACTCGCATTATAAGTCACAAAGAAAAAATTACTTAATGGCTTTACTTACCATGACTCACCATAAGACTTGGTTGCCGTTGGCAAAAATGTTACAGTAACTCTAGGTAACAAAAAGTCTATAAGTTTGTTTTTATGTTAAATTATAAAAACTAAAAATTAAAAAGAAATTAGTTTTTAAATAAAGCTACTCTTTCATTTGTTTCGAATAGTAAAAAAAAAAAAAAACAGATTTCTTTGGCAAATACTCTTAAAACTAAAAACATGGTCAATGTTCAACTCAATACCTGCTTTTCTAACACCAAAATGAAGATATTGAGATCTACTTTAAACAAGTCAAAAGATTCAGTCAAATTGAGCCCTGTTTAGCACAAAAATTTTTGACAAAAGAAAAAAAAAATCTTTAAAGTCTTTATGCTCTCAATTGTTACATTTTTTAAATAACATGAGACAGAATCAGAGAACACAGATATTGTTCATAGTACAAATTTGAAAAAATATGAGACAGCATCAGAGAGCACAGATATTGTTCATAGCACAAATATGAAAGAACATAAAGATTTTAAACGAAATAAGCAATCTTGTTTTCAAGAAGTATAAAATTCAAAAATTATTCAAAATTTTATGCTATCTTAAAATTGCTAATTTCATGTGTGGAGTCACATCCCAGTTTACAACATCACAGTTAATGTGACATTGACTCAAAAGCAGAGGAGTCTTGAGAATTTTTAGAAGTTTGAAGCCAACCACAGAAAGTTTGAAGGACAGTCACAGCAAGTTTGAAGGCCAATCACAGCAGTTTAAAGGCCAACCACAGCAAGTTTGTTTGCTCTGGAACAAATAAAAAAAAATTCAAGGAATTTAACAATTCTATAGAAGCTTTTTTGATCATAGCTAAAGACTGGCCTTTATCTTCTTTTGAGGCTTGTAAACCATCTATTTAAATATTCTTCAGTGTTGGGAGTAAGCAAGAGACTGTCCTGCAAAATCAAACCTTTAGAGTGCAGTATACTATTAAAGAATGTTGACATCCTTCAAAGAATGGCAGAAAAATCTTGTGCATTTCAAGCTTTGTTGAAAGATTGTAAAAAGAAAAATTTTTTTATCATTGAGTGAATCAATATTTAAATTTTTATTTTTATTTTTGAAAAGAAAGCATTTATATTTAAAATGTAAAAAAAAACTTTATATTGAAGTCAAAGTTTCACACTTATTAGCAATCATCTGGTGTAAAGTACAAATTCAAAATTACAAACTAAAACGAAACAAGTTCTGGTGTCTTTATTTAAGAAAGATGCAAATGAAAACTTATCAAATATTGAGAGAAGGAGTTTTTTTATGTCTACATTTAGAGATTACTTGTTTAGTAAGTTGTTTTTTTTTCAAAATAATATTTCAAATTTCTCTTTTAATCAAATTTTTGATGCAAGATTGTATGGCTTACAACATTTAATAATATGATATCCATTAGATTAAAGCTGTTAAGTTATTTTCTTTTATTTCCATATTTCAGTGGCAGAACTGTCAAAATAATACAAATCTGGTACTGACAGCTACAACTATTAGCTATTACTATCTTCTCTCCATCAAAGTGAACATATTTCAGACTTGAGTCTTTGAAAATTTCATATATACTGCATATTTCAGTATTGTATTTTCTCTAGTGTATTCACAAGGAGTTCAAAATAACTTAAAACAAAAGTTAATATTAAATATTAAAATACTAAATTCAAACATCAATTTAATATTTCATCAAAAATTAATTTAATATTCAAAACTAAAATGACTTCAAATAATATTTTTTCAGCACACTAAAATATAATGAGTAAATTCTTTAAATATTTTTTTTTTAATAAATTTTCAGCACTTAATAACTTTTCTTACTAATTTCTTATTTAGTTTGTGATTTTTTATAGAGGTTTCTGCAAATTTTTGTTTATACTTTTTATTTTTGTAAAATTTTATGAACTCCTAATTTTTTTAATGTAGGAAAAGACACAAAAAATTATAATGTAAATTTGAAACTTCCAACAGATCCAAAAAATAAATACTTATATAACATTTATTACACACCCAAAAATACTTATATAACATTTATAACACATCCAAAATTACTTATACAACATTTATTGAACATCCAAAAATTCTTATATATAACATTTAAAATTTTAAAGAGTAACTAATTTGTTAATAAACTATTTTGTTTTATTTACAAAAACAGAAACAAATTCAAAAACAAAATCAAGAAAATTTTTGATCAAAATTAACATGTAATAATGTTAAAATCATTGTTGACATGTAATAATGTTAAAATCATTGTTGACATGTAATAATGTTAAAATCATTGTTGACATGTAATAATGTTAAAATCATTGTTGACATGTAATAATGTTAAAATCATTGTTGACATGTAATAATGTTAAAATCATTGTTGACGTGTAATAATGTTAAAATCATTGTTGACATGTAATAATGTTAAAATCATTGTTGACATGTAATAATGTTAAAATCATTGTTGACATGTAATAATGTTAAAATCATTGTTGACATGTAATAATGTTAAAATCATTGTTGACATGTAATAATGTTAAAATCATTGTTGACATGTAATAATGTTAAAATCATTGTTGACATGTAATAATGTTAAAATCATTGTTGACTATCAATCTTCTGTATGGTTTTAGTATATTTTTTAAAATTATAAATTACTTATTCAAATAAGTTTTTAAATTTTATAACTATTTCTTTTCAGATTCCCAGGATGCTCTTCTGTGTGGCTTTTGTAAAATAGCAAATAGTTCTTATCGAAATGATTTTCATAATGTTTTTATGAAATGGACGATTGAAAACTGTTTTGATGATATAATGTATGTATGTTTATAAAAATATTTGATGTTCTTTTTTTGGTATCATGTAAAAAAAGTTTTTTCTATGTTCTGTCTGATATAATAAAATAACTGACTTGTGCCGTGATGACCTTTGTTTTAAGTTTTAGTTTTTTTTTTTACTATTTAATTACTTTTTATTAATAGGTACCATGATGATGTTTTAACCATATTAAGTTATCCTGGTCACGAGGCTTTCGATGGATTTTGTTTTAAACTAGCAAAGGATTTATTGTCTGTTGAATATTGGAAATTAAAAGTATATTAACTGATAATTAATTTGTTAATACAAAAACTTATGATTTTTATGATGATGATGATCATGATCATGATGATGATCATCATCATGATCATCATCATGATCATGATGATGATCGTAATGATGATCATGATGATAATCATCATGTTCATGATCATGATGATCATCATCATGATCATCATCATCATGATCATAATCATCATCATGATCATCATCATGATCATCATGATTATCATCATCATCATGATCATCATGATTATCATCATCATCATGATCATCATCATGATCATCATCATGATCATCATTACGATCATCATCATGATCATGATGATGATCATGATCATCGTCATGATCATGATGATGATTATGATAATGATGATCATGATGATGATTATGATAACCATGATCATGATTATCATCATGATCATGGTTATCATGATAATGATGATCATGATGATGATGATCATCATGATCATGATTATGATCATGATGATGATCATGATGATGAAGATCATGATGATGATCATGATAATGATCATGATGATGATCATCATGATGATCATAATCATGATTATCATCATCATCATCATCATGATTATAATCACGATCATCATCATGATCATGATGATGATCGTGATCATAATCATGATCATCATTATCATGATCATGATCATCATGATCATCATCATCGTCATCATCATCATGATGATCATCATCATGATCATCATCATGATTATAATGACAATTGTTATCATGATCATGATGATGATTATCATCACCATTATGATCATGATGATGAGAATAATTTATTTTATTAACTTATTGATTATTAATTAATCTCTTAAATTTTAGGATTCCAAAAAAATTAATGCAATTTTATTTTATTCAAAATTTCTGGAGAGGATTTGTCTAAAATTTCCATTAGATTCAGAATTAGTTATTGATACTACTATTAGATGCATGTCTGAAGATAATGTAAGTAATTTCAAAAATAATGTAAGTAATTTTAAAGATAATGTAAGTTAAAATTTTTTTATAAAGTTTTTTAAGATGTTTGAAATTTTCAATGAATGTTTAAAGATTTAATATTTTGTTAATTAAAAACTTAAACTATCTAATTGATAATTAAAGTTTAAAAACTTTAATTGATAATTAAAGTTTAAAAACTTAAACTATCTAATTGATAATTAAAGTTTAAAAACTTTAATTGATAATTAAAGTTTAAAAACTTAAACTATCTAATTGATAATTAAAGTTTAAAAACTTTAATTGATAATTAAAGTTTAAAAACTTAAACTATCTAATTGATAATTAAAGTTTAAAAACTCTAATTGATAATTAAAGTTTAAAAACTTAAACTATCTAATTGATAATTAAAGTTTAAAAACTTAAACTATCTAATTGATAATTAAAGTTTAAAAACTTTAATTGATAATTAAAGTTTAAAAACTTAAACTATCTAATTGATAATTAAAGTTTAAAAACTTAAACTATCTAATTGATAATTAAAGTTTAAAAACTTTAATATATAATTAAAGTTTAAAAACTTAAACTATCTAATTGATAATTAAAGTTTAAAAACTTTAATTGATAATTAAAGTTTAAAAACTTAAACTATCTAATTGATAATTAAAGTTTAAAAACTTTAATTGATAATTAAAGTTTAAAAACTTAAACTATCTAATTGATAATTAAAGTTTAAAAACTTAAATTTTTGTCTTTACTTCTTATTTTTATTAATTTGAATTTTTCTCAGAATGTGTTGGAAAATTTTGTTTTAAATTATGAAGAACATCAAATAGAACTTTTTCAAAAACTTATAAGGTTAATAATTTTGTAATTTTTATAAGGTTATTAGTTTTTTCAAAAACTTGTCAGGTTATTAATTTTTCTAATTGTTCTAAATAAAGCCAACAGTTGAACCAATTACAATAATTTTTATACAAAATCTTTTTAATTTTTAGAACAAGATCTGCAAATGAACTGCATTATTTTTTGAGTATATTTCAAAAGCACAAAAGACTAGATAAACTTCTTAATAAGTGCTTTTCATTAATAATAGTAGAAAATTTTACTGATAAACTCTGTGTAGCCATTGGTTTTTTAAATGAAGTATCAGAAATAAAAAGACTCGCTGATCATTATATTTCAGAGTTACTTTCTGGTGTAAAAGTTGAAGGTATTAATTAAGTCATTTATGTTGTTTTGTTATTTTTATATGCCAACTATGTTAATTTTTAAATATGTCAATAAAAACTAGCATTTCAGACCTGTAAAATAGGGGTCTTGGTAAGTCTTTTCTACACCAAACATTTCTATATTTCAAACTTTAATATATTTTTTGTAAGCAGTAGAAAAACTATACATACTGTCCACCTTCTAAAGCTATTAATAAAATAATTTATATAACTTTAAAAAATAACAATTGCTTTGGTAGTCATTGCACGAACCGCTATTCAGTGGTAGAAAATAAAAATCATTCAAGTCTTTGTTTTGAATTAACAATTAATGTTCAATACTTCATAACTAAAGGATCCAAAATTGAGAAAAAAATCTGTCAGAGTTGAGAAAAATCGGAATTTCGATAATATTTTGTTATAAATTAAAAAATTAAATTATCTAGTCGATAATTAAATATTGTTCTATTTTTTTTTTTTTTTTTTTTATATTAAATATTTCGATTTATATTTCATAATAAGTTTTTAAAAAATTTGTATTTTTATATTTCTTAATACTTAAATTTCTTTTTTATCACAATTTTTTAACAAACAATATTGTTCTAATAAATGGCTTTCTAACCGGCATCGGTTAGGAAGAAGGCGTGAACTTTCAGTTAAATGCTCTTCTGCAGTGCTATGTAATAAAGGCTTCTTGGGGCACATAGTAAAAATTAAATAAAAAATTAAAAAAAAAAGTATTTATTCTGAAGACCTTATTAAATAATATTTTAAAAAGATCAAAAAATCTATCATTTCATCAGAAACCGGACTACAAAACTTTGTAACAAATCTGGAAGATGAGGATAAAACTCTTTCTGTTTCCAAGAAGTTGCTTGAATTCTGTGGATGGTTAATTCAAATTTCAACACTGCTTTTGATTTCACACCAGTTACTTCATAAAACTTAAACATGGTACCCAATTTCACCATCCACCTACAGCCATCCATAGTTTTACCTGCAATATCTTCACTATCTATACCAAAATGTTTTAATTTTTCCATTATCAAAATGTTTAATGTTTTGGTAGAACTAGGAGATGGCAATCTCACCATTCTTAAACAATACATTTTGTCGTGATGAACATTTAAATTGTAGTATCTTCTACCTCTATTGCTAAACCATTCGTCGTTTGTTAGTCCAAATTTTTCTCCTTTTGCTTTCAATGCAGCAAATTCAGCAATCATTAATTATTTGGCTTCAGCATGATACATCTTAATTTTTTCTGAAATTGTGGACTCAGACTTAGGTAAACTATGCCCATAATTTTCAAAAAGCATTCTTTGTGTTTCAGATTGAGTTATGGACCTAATCGAATATCCATCAAAAGCTTTCAACTTGGCAAGAAAATAGTTTAATGACATCTTAGTCAAAGCTGGTCTGAAACTGAATGGTTTTAAATCTACTTTCTCACAACTTTTAATGTGTCCAATTAGGCCGTTTGTGCTGCTTCCTAGACATGCAATTTTTTTACAACATTTTTTGCAATCTTGGTATTTCTTATCATTTACCACAACTTTATCAAAGTAATTTAAGGCTTCCGAAACCATTTTTTCTATGAAAGAAAAAATTATCCATTTGATTATGACCTCATATATTTGTTTTTAATTTTATTTTAATTGTGTTATTTAATTATGGCATTTTAAGTTATTAATTAAGTTATTTATTCTAATAGGTAAGTATAATTAAACATTAATTTTTATTTCTTGTTATCACTGATAACATATTATTACACAATTTTGCTGCAATGCACAGTGGGCCGGATATTAGACTTATGGTGAACAAAATTATTTTAATCATTATATACGACACTACTTGTATAAAATAAAAGTATTATACGTTTAAAAATTACCTTGTTATTTTATAACCAGTTTTTGTTTATATTATAAATAATGATCTTGACTAAATTTTTTTTTTTACTATTGAATAGTTAAAATATATAAACTAAGATCACATTCGCATAATATTTTAAAAGTTTTTGTTTACTATATCTTTACTTAAAAATTAAAAAATTATTTTTATTATACATTACATTTTATTATACCGCAATTAATTTTTGAGGGTTTAAAAAAATACTAATACTAAAAAGATACTATTATACTCAAAAGAGTTTTTGAAATAGCACAATGGAAAAGTAAGAGTATGTTTTATTATATTTTGAATAGAATAATCTTTTTTTGAGGTTTTTTCCACCATCACCTGGCCCACTGCATTACCAATTGCTTTGCGATGTAAATTAGTGTTGTTGTTGAACAAATAGAACACTTACATTTTGAAAACAACAAGAACTATTGTAAAAGCAGCGTAGAAATAAAATAAGAACTTATTTATTTTACCAGTAAAAAATTGATATTTTCTAAGAACTTTGTAAGTTTCTTGATTTTTCTCACCGAAACTCAAAAAACAGAGAAAAATCCGACGAGACAGATATCCAAATGGATCCACTGTTTATAACTTCTTATTGTAAAGTTGTAAACTTCTATAAAAAAAACCAGGTACAAACTTATAAATTTTTTTCTTTATTAAGTTTCTATTAAGTTTTTATTAAATTTTTTTCTAGACCAATCGTAGCTTATTAGGAACCTCGCTCTGTTAATTAATTTTGAAGAAAATAAAAGTTTGAATGTTAAATCTTTTTTCCTATAAAAAAAAGGTTGTCTCCTTAATGTGTGTAGACTTAATTAATTACCTAAGCACATTAATAACTGAAATTTCTCTATTTCATGTAACTATGAAAAATATCTCTATTTCATGAGTAACGGCAGCAGCATTAAATTTACTATTAAAGTAATATAGGATTATAATGCAACATACTTTTTTAGAAAATTTATAATCTAACTCAGTAATATTATTTGAGTATGCTAATGATACTAAATATAAAAACTCATTTTGTACAGTTAAAAAATATTTTAAAAAGGTAATACTAAATATAAAAACTAGTTTTGTACAGTTAAAAAAATGTTTTAAAAAAATAATACAAAATAATTAAACTCATTTTGTTCATGAAAATATTTTTTAAAGTTTAGTTGCATTTCATAAAACGTTTTTATATCAACAAATGATTTTTTTTTTTCAAATGTTAAGATAAAAGTTTTGTACAAGTTCATATATTTTTGTAAACCTTTCTTTAGGTTCATACATTCTGGAAGCATCAATTATTATACATTCATATATTTATTCATACATTATTATTCATATTATTATTCATACATTTTTGTAAACCTTTCTATAGTTTCATAATTGAAATTACAGTGCTGGCCAAAAAGATCCGACCACGCATTGTTTATCTATGTATACAGTATGTACATTGTAGTGTAGGCGCTTTCCTCGGAATTTCACCATCACGCTTTGCATGCGTGATTGGCTAGTTATCAGCCAATCAAAACAGTTGTACCATTGTTATATATACCATCGCATGCGTAGCTGTGAATTACTATTTGCATTTGACTATGGCGACAACATCACCTGGAAAACGTGCTAAAATACAACTTTTGATGGAAGACGGGAAGTCTGAACGTGCGATTGCCGCACGTTTACAAATGCCTAAGACAACTGTTCACGACGTCATTCAGCACATCAAGTCAACAGGCACCAGCGCTGCAGGAAGATCCAGTGGCAGACCGAGATGTACCACATCAAAAACTGACGCTATGATCCGCCGTGCAGCCACGAAGGACCCACTGGCATCATCTTCACAAATTCTCAATGAACTGCCTCCTGATGTGAATGTGAGCTCTCGCACCATTCGGCGACGTCTTGTGTTTAATTCAATCATATTATCATTAAATTGAAGTGGTATTACGTTTCTGTCTAAAAACCTTAGTGGTCGGATCTTTTTGGCCAGCACTGTATGTTTCATTATTTTTAAAAAACAGCATTTTAATTTGAATTGGTTTTATTTATTACACAAATTTTATTTTTTTGCACAATTGTGGAAAAACAAAATACAATTACATTAATTCCTTTCATTAAAGGAACTTTACTAAATAAATTTAACAAAGCCCACATTGTTTGATGAATCTTATAAAAACTGTTACTAAAAAAAGTGAATCTACAAGATTCTTATAGGTATTTAGGATGACACAGACAATAAAGTTGAAATATCTTGTTGGAGTTCTGAGTACTTAGATACAACATTAATGGGAAGTTTTTGTTGGAATTCTGAGTTTTTATTTACAACATTATTTTCTATAACTATAATTATTCTTAGGATTGTAGTAAGTTGATTGGTCTAATGTAAAGTCTTCCAAGTTGATTGATCTAATGTAAAGTCTTCCAAGTTGGTTGGTCTAATGTAAAGTCTTCCAAGTTGGTTGGTCTAATGTAAAGTCTTCCAAGTTGGTTGGTCTAATGTAAAGTCTTCCTCTAAGTTTTTACTAATTGGTCTAATGTAAATTTAGTGTTTCTAACCTGGAAAAGGCAAAATATGTATATAAGCTACTCAATGTTAACTTTACTGATAAAGTTAATCAAATGTTTTTGGATTCTGTTGATCTTTGTTTTTCTATAAAGCATAATATCAAAACTTTAAATGTGTTATCTCCCAATGGGGAGCAAATAGAATTTTTTAACACTTTTTAAACCTTTAAAGTTTTTCAACCCATTTATTAGGAAAAATTTTAAATTTTAATATTAATTTATGTATACCAAAATGTTTTAATTTTTCCATTATCAAAATGTTTAATGTTTGGCAGAACTAGGAGATGGCAATCAATATTTTATACATACAAGATTGTATGTATAAAAATCTCTATATGACAACAATGTACTGGTAAAGATTTTCTAAAATATGTTTAACTCTTGCTAACAAAACTTATAAACCTCCCCATCCATTAATGTTTTCTTAAAAGATAAAATACTAGTATTTACAGAAATGTAAGTAAATGCTGCATCACCTTTGATCATTATAAAGCTGTAAATAATAACAACTAATTTTTAAGGCTTTATAACTTCAAAAGAATGAAAGGTAAAGTCAAAAGAATGAAAAGTCGAGTTTGAGAGTTCGAGAGCTTAAAACTTTAAAGATGTAATTGTGTGAGCTTATACACAACTACAACTAAGTTGTAGTTGTGTATAAGCTCCTCTTTAAGTTTCATCATTTTTCAAGCTTCATCAGCAGTAGTGAAAAGTATACAGTTTGCAGATCATAAATCATAATTGTCCACTAGAATATTGAAAAGAATATGAAAAGATTTTTCCTATTTTTTCCAGTTAGCTTAAAGTATACTAACAACAGGATAAGCAACAAGTTCAGCAAGTTAACACAATCAACAACAACAATTTGTTCTTGTGAGTGAACCAACACAATTAACAACATAAGTTACACTTGTAAGCAAATCAACAACAACAAGTTGTTCTCATGAATGAGTAAATACAATAAACAACAAGTTATTCTAACAAGCAAGTAAATACAATCAACAACAAGTTGTTCTTATGAACAAATAAATGCAATCAACAACAACAACTTGTGAGCGACAATTGTTCAAAATTTTAGTCATACCTCTAACAACAATGTTAAGAGTTTGGGAACAAAAAATAAAGGCAGTATTTTTTTTTATTATTCTAAGTTATGTTTTGTGTTTTTTGTGTCAAGTTTTTATTTCATACCACTAAAGTTATTTTAGTGGCATGAAATGTAAAATGAGGTACAGTTGCACATGACTTCAATTTTTTACCCGTAAATTTTGTTAGGTTTACTTTTATATGAGTTCAATTTTGTACCCATAAATATTGTTAGAAGAATAGAAACAGTAAAGGTTGTTTACGATGTGAATTCTTTACAAAATTCCACACAGCATGGATTATTTTACAATCATAGCAATTACCCTTACTTATGTTATTTTATTATATAATATACTTTGAAAAATATTTTTTAGAGTTTAAAGTTTTATTAAAAGTGATATGGTGTATCTTATCGCAATGGCAGCAGGTTGATAACAACTGTAATGAGGAATACAAAGACTATGCAACAGACTTGTTGAATTATATTGTTACCTGGTGTTCTGACAACAATCATCTTCTACTTTTATCAACATCAATCAGCAATGATGTCTCGTTAGATAAAAATCTAATGTCATTGCTGTGTCATCTGTTGCTGACTGCTGGAGTTTGTATGCGAACAGAACATTGGGACTTTTATCTATGTTCATTAGTGGCATGGCTTCAGGTTTATTTTTATACTTTTACAGTTCAAAAATATTGACTCAAATGGTTATTATATTTTAAAATTATTTAGTTTAATAAAATTAAAAAAAGAAAAAAAAGTGAAAGTATTAAAAAGTAAAAACTTAATTTTTTTAAACTTATTTAATTAAATTTAAATGTTTAATTTTCATTTTACACAACAAATGATTTTTAAACTAAATTATTAATAATTATTAATCTAAATTTTAATCATAGACTTGTGAAGAAACATTTTTGTCGTCAATTCTAACCGATTGTTCAATTGAGTTTATGATCTCATGTTATGAAATGTTTCGTATTTTGGCTGCAATATTTGACAAATACACAAGTAAGTTAATCAAAGTAAGTTAAGTAAGTAAGCATTTGTTTTGTATTTGAGTTAACAACATTACCTTTCTTTTAATGTTTAAAGATTTTAATTACAGTTAATTTTAAAATGTTTAAAGTGTTCTTATCTTCCATATTCACTGTGTGCCATAAAGACTGCCAGGTTGAACTTCTCCCCACCTCTAATTTTTTTTTATATTAAGATAAATGCTGCTTAAATATGTTATTTTTGTGTATTGGATAAATCTAAAGTAGGTCAGAAGTACCAAAAAAACTTAATTTTTTAATCCTATTTACCCCCTTAAAGCGATAAAGTTACCCCCTAAAAAAAGTAACCCCTTCTATTATTATTTTAAAAATCAATATTCTTTATTATCTTTTTTAAAGTATTATAACATAATCTATAATTTCAAACTTAAAATGATTTCAATTTTCCAGTGGCAGATTTTAATCGTTTACCATAATCTATATGCCCAATCCTTCATTTATATTGAGACTAACTTGGTATAAAGGTGCTGTGAACAGCCTCTCCAGCCTGTTTGGCATATGATCCAAGAGGACAAGAATTAAATTTCACAAATGAGAGAATATGACAAACCACTATATGTACTTTCCAAGTAACATTCAGCTCTGCATTTAAATGTATTTTTGCTTACTGCTGTAGGTCAAAAAATGATACTTTGAACTCTTCAATAACTGAAGGAACATTACTGCCTAATTCTTGTCCAAATGTGCACTCTTTAACATTCGAAAACTTTCTGAGGTAATGAACAATAGGTATCAAATTAGTTTGAGATGCTAAAATATCTCTTTCTAAAATAACTACTTTTTCTAAAAATTTTGTGGCATTATTGCTATCAAAGCCTATCCCATGATAACCATGAAGTAAAATATAATGCTCTTTGAGCCAATTCATAAAGAGAGGCCAATGATCTAAAAGTAATCTACCAAGTAGTCTCATAATCCCCATAAGAAAATGTAATTCTGGTGGTGGAATTAAGTGATTAATTTCAACTTCAGGATTTAATCAAAATAAACAAGATGAGGACTAATCACATTTTTAAAATCTTTTATCTGCAATCGCTTTGCCCCATTTTAAACAAATAACTTGTACCAATGATCACAAGAACCTAACCTTCTTGGAATACCACTTTCTAGGGTACATTCACCTTCACACCATAAGCAGGCATATTTACCAGAATGAGAAGATAAACAGAAAATGCTGTTAGCACATTTTAAATCAAATGCAAGGTAATATGACATCATCAAGATTTAATCTACTCAAGATGTTCTGCAGATTTCCATGGTCTTCAGAAATATCTTCAACAATAGCAAGTATAAAACACTTCTTAACTCCACTGTCGATGTGTATCTCATTTTTATTGGTCTTTTCAAAGACATTTACAATTAGATATTTACAATCAATAGATACATCTACCATACTGGAAAGAGGATCTAAACCTCTTTCCATTAAAATACTAAGAATAAATTCAGAAGTGACATAAATAAATACTATAAATAATAAAAATATAAATACTCTTGTTACAGTTTTTTCATTCCTAATAAAATCATCTTGTTCTATTTTATATTTAGACTCAATTTCTTGTTGCAATGATGTCATCATGCTAACTACTACATTGTTTTCAACAACAGTAGACAACCCTAGATTCTTACGCAGACTTGATATCATTTTTTTGTTTGATTTTTTGTTAATTCCAGTATAGAAGTTAACTCCATAACTGTTTGGAATGATGTCTGATTGAAAGACCTTCTGAATGATTTATTACCTTTAGTTCCAATGGTTAAAGTTAATGGATTCCCACCTTAAAGGGGTCCCCAACTGCCGAGACAAGTTGTGTTCATATTTAAAAAAATGCTTAAAAAAAATCTAATAATGTTAGCCGCAATCTGCAGATTTGATAATTTATTCCATGCGTGTTAATTCATAACAGTTTCTGTATATGACGTCACCGCAATACCTTTTTTAGATAGCGTTTTTTTTTTTTTGTTGTTGTTTTTTTAAAGATATAAATATTTTTTCTACTACAATTAGAAAATCAAATATTTGTATAACTTTTTACTAAATCACAAAAAATATTTGTGATTTAGTAAAAAATTATACAAATATATATATATATATATATATATATATATATATATATATATATATATATATATATTTATGTTTATAATTTTTTTTTTACTTATTTTATTATTACTTTGTTGTAGAAGATAGCCAAAATTATGACACAATTATACATATTTTGTGATTATTAAAGTTCGCAGGCAGAGAAAAAATAAAGGCAGTATGATGCGGTTTTTCGTTTTATATTTAGTTCATATGGTTCAATAGAGTTGTTTGTTTTATGTTTAATTTACATTTAGTTATGGTTTATCTCTTTTACTACCGCAAGCCACTGCGAGTATGCATTACAATTTATCTTGTTTTGTACATAAATTTCCATTCTAAACACATATTTTGTTTGTTCTGAAGGTTTAATTAATTCTCTACATAATCAGAAAAAAAAAAGAGTTATATTGTGTAATTATAAAAAAGTTATCACAAAGTTAAAAAGTCTTAAATAATCCTTCATAAAAAACTTTAGTTATAAAATAAAACAGCGTTTACACTCTAAAATTTTACTTATAGAAGTGTTAAGTATTTAGTTAAGTAATTTCCAAAGTATTTTGAAGAAAAAATGTTATTTTTATTCATTAAATGAGGTTTGTTTTGGACTTAATGTTTTATAAAAACAATGGCTTTAAGCTCATTGCATTCTTATTGTTTAATGATGCGTGTTAAAAACTTTATTATTATCGAATTTTAATTAATTGTCAATTATATGCTGTTGAAACGTTATTCAAAAATATGTGCGGTTGCTACAAAAAGATTTTTGTTCGGTTGGTAGCAAACAATTTAATGCGATTCTTTGTTTTTATATTTATATTATTACTATTTCTTGTATATTTTAGTACAAATATTTGTTTTAACTTTAATTTAGCTTGATTTGAACGGTTCAGTTTATGTCTTATTCAAGTCACTCGTTTTTTTTTCAGTTTATACTTTAAATTAATTTATAACTTTTTGTAAAATTTTTCTTTTAGTATCTAGTTTATATTTAGTTTAAACCACTACGTTTACTGTAAATATTCGTTTTATAATAAATTTTTATTTTTATAAATTTAATTTTTAGTTGCATTATAAACTTTTTTGGGGATTTAGTAAAAAGTTATACAATTAACATGATTTGGTGATTTTGGAAAAAATATAATATGACATTTTGAAAGAGAAAAAATTTATACGATGACATCATATACCGAAACTGTTATGAATTAAACACGGACGGAATAAATTATCAAGTCTGCAGATTGCGGCTAACTTTATACAGACTCCGAGAACCAAAAAAAAATGGAGACAGCGAGCTTTGACTAAAACGTGAATTTTTTTTTTAGCCCAAATGTTTTTTTTAAACATTTTCTTTAATATGAACACACTCTTGGCAGTTGGGGATCCTTTTAAAAATAAAGTATAACTAAATTAAATATATTTTTTTACCATAACTAAAGGGAAAACACAAATATTTCAAAAAAGTTAGCAATCAAAATAATTGTTAAACTATATGCCTCATATCTATTTCTGCATGCCTTTAAGTTTTATAATATATAATACTATATGAACATTTGAATCTTTTATCAACAATTTTATAAAGAAAGTAAAAAACTTAGCTACCTGTAGATGTTTTAAAGGATTGGCCTCTCTCTATGCCTTAATTAGGTATAATCTCTCAAATTAATTAGGTTTAAAACAGCCTTACTAGAACTAGAAAGTTCTATGACCTCCTGAAGAATAAAATTAAATATAAAATTTATATAGACTTATTAAGCTTAAAAATAAGGTTTTTTTTTTATTGAAGTTATATAAATTATAATTAAAAAAAAACTAATTATGTATAATTCTACATATTGTTTACAATTTACATAATTATAATTAAATATGTATACATATTTATTTGACAACTTTTTATTTACTTATCAAATAATTTAATATTTGCAACCTCTTGCAAGGAGAGAAAAGCAGCAACTACATATATTTTCCTTTGGAGATTCTACAGCTAGTGTTTTACCACAAGATGGTTGAACAATATCACTAAGTTCAGTACTGCGTCTAGTTCTTGGCCTGTCAACCTAATTCAGAAACATATACTTTATAAAAAAATTATTTTTTATTTATGTATTAATCATTTAAATTTAATTAACTCTGTACTTGAGATACTTAACTCATCCAGTTTGACAGATAAGTACTTGATCCCTTCTCAGCAAAAATATATTTCTTCTCCAATTTGAACATATTACAACAGGGCAAACAATGAAATCTTCATTATACTCAGGCCAAATATACTCTTTGATTTTATTTGCTATAGATGGTTGTACTTTTGATAACGATATTGAATATTCGCTTTTTTTTTTCAAAAAAACTGCGCAAACAGACTGCTTCAAATCCGCCATTTTTACTGCTCTGTGTGTTTTTCTCCAACTATTTTTCTTATCAGTTAAAAATTATTTTTTAAAAAGAAATCGAAAATGGTGGAATACATCATTTTAATTGCTAAATTTTTAGTCCTTTTTAGTTTTTTCAAACTTAAATTACTAACTCTTCTGATTGAGTTCAGATTTAGTTTGCATTTGAAAAACGATTATACAAAATTAGGTTATTAAAAAAAAAAAAAAATCTGAGGTGGTGAGATTTTGAACCTGACGGTCTTTATGGCTCACTGTGTATTATAGAGTATTTTTAAAATATATAGAGTGTTCTTATCCTCCATTGATTGGGCTAAGTATATCTTTCGATGGGCTTGTGAATGACACATTAATTTCAGAATGGAAAGAGTTTTTTCTTCCAGCTTGTCATGCTTCTATTCATAATGTTGCTATGAAAGCTCTTTTAAACGGTTCATTTTAATTTTTTTTTCTTTATTATATATTTAACAACATTTAATTGAAAGTATTTAATTTTTAATTTTAATGAAATTTAAATGATAGTAAATTTTACTGATTTTTTAGAATATCCAAGTGTACCTGAGAAACTATGTTATGCTATATCATCTGCAATGCAGTTTGTATCTCGAGAATATATTATTGAAAATCTTTTTAAAAATATCACATCTGAAATGCAAAAAAAAAAAGTAGTTGGCGACTTATTTAGATTTTTAAACAAAATAATTTTCAATGGTCCAGTGCATTTTAAACTTGAAAGTTATCACATTCTATCAAAGTATTTTGTTTAACTTTTTAAAGAAAACTTTACATATGGAAGACTCTATCACATATGGGAGACTTGGGCTAGATTCTTAAAATAGCAAAGCTCTGTGTTTTTTTTTTTACTATTCCGAAAATAAGAAATTAGGGTTACAGTTTATTTAATTCATAATTTTAGCATATTTATTTATTAATTTTAACTGTATATTGGTTGTTTTTTCTGGGTTTTTTTTTTTTTTTTTTTTTTTTTTTTTGGTTTTTTTCTGTTATTCCCCTCCCCAAGGCTGAGAAGGCCACTACAATTAAGGATGCTACTGTTATGGTTACAACCCTCTCTCAACTTTTTAAGAAAGAAAAAAAAGGCCACTGCACTGAGAAACAAGTTGAGTGCGCTACTACACTCAACAGCAACAGTTAGAGCTGTGGTAATAGTAACAGTAGAGCTGCTTATGTCACACATATATAAAATAATAAATTAGAATGTACATTTCAAAATAAACTATACTGTGCTGACCTAAATACCAAGTGTGTAAAACTTATTGTCAGCTTAATCATCATTTATTTCAAAGATATTCTTGTATCATAAAAAGATTCTGTGACATTTCAATTAGCCTCAGTCTCCAATTTCTTATTTCAACTAGCCTCAGTCTCCAATTTCTTTTTTCTAGCTAACCTCAGTCTCCAATTTTTTATTTCTAACTAACCTCAGTCCCCAATTTTTGTCTAATCTCAGTTATCTGATTTGATAGATTAAGTGACTTTATTGAAGAATTTCTTTGTAAGAATATTGAACCTGAGTCAAGTGAATATGAACAATTAAGGTAATGTTTTGTTAAAATTTTTTGTTTCTAAATTTTTACTTTAATTTGGTATAATATATTTTAAAATTGAATTTTTTTGCTGTTTCATAAAATATTACTTTTAAACTAAATTTTTATTTTTAATTTTGTATGATTTTTAATTTTTTTGATTCTTGTTACACTTTACTTTGGTTACCTTCTTATATATAAAGAAAATAATTGCTAGATGCTAATTTAGATACCATATTTCTTCAATCAGGTAATTCAACATAAAATCAACAAAATTTTTGGAAATTTTTAACTATGGGTCATTATATTTTCTTTAACTACTTTGGCTGTTGCATTTTTCAAAGTTTCACACATAAAATATTGGCCCCAAATTTTGTACAGTCTCAGAGATATTGCAATTTTATTATTGACCTGGTTTCCCAAAATGACATGTGACATGACATTTTTAAAAAAAAAATTCTTAATAAAAAGAGAAATGACAATGGTAAAAACTGATTAGGTGTGATATTGATGTGTTTTTTTAAATTTAGACAATTATAAAAAGTTTATAGAAAGTTTATAGACAATTAAATAAAGTTTATAAAAAGTTCAGTTGATGAATTGAATATTCATTTAAAAAATTTTATCTGAATGAAGTTATCTATTATATCTACCAGTACAAAACATTTAACTAAAGAAGGAAAAAAATGTGAGAACTATTTCCTCTTTAAAAACTTTTTTTTCACTGAAAATTAAGTAAAAAAGAAGAGTTTTTATTAAAATAAATTTTTTCTACTTTTCATATTAAAGAGTTTATTTAATTGCGGCTAAATCATTGGCGCAATGACATCAGAGGCATGCATAGGGCCAACAAGATGCTATTGAAACTTTGAACAACAAAGAAAAATTTGCGCTGAATCAAAATATCAAACTTGAGTTGTTATTTGACATTCTACAAAATATTTGAAAATGTATCCTATAGAGTAGAAAGTTGTAAGCTATTATAACAACTTTCTGCTTAGATACACAGATAAAAATTAGTATGAGCTTTAGTAAAAGCTGTAAAATTTGAATATTATATATAAAATTTTTATTTTTATATTCAAAAACATAACAAAATAAAGTTTTATACAAATATACAACAAGCTTTTTACATTTCAATTATTTAAATTCTCAGTCATTTTGCTTTATTTTCACTGTTATTTTTAGAAAATCTTGATTTAGTTACAACAAAAAAGTAACATGAAGAAACTACGAAACTCTGAAAGACAAACAAAAGATTGCTAAAAGAGATGTCACAGAAACAAAATCAGGGTGAAACAGATGAGTATTTTGTCATATCATCATTCAAAGTAACAAGATAGAAAGTCAACAAAAATCTTCAAGATTTTAACATTTCTTTTCTAAAAATTAAAAATTTTCAAAATATATAGACTTAAAAAGAAAGGGAAAAGTTGTACACATTAGTGAAAGTGAAAGGTTGTACGTATTAATGTGAAAGGTTTTATGCATTAACATGAAAGGTTGTACGCAATAGCATGAAAGGTTACATGTATGGTTGTATTGCATGTAAAGGTTGTAAGTATGCATTAACGAAAGTGAAAAGTTGTATGCATTAACGATATTGAAAAGTTGTTATGAAATTAGCGAAATGGTAAAGAATGTAAATTAGAAAAAATGAGTCATTTTCCTCAGAAAACGTGTGTGAAGAAACATAGTTTTAAAAAGAATGTTAAATGTTTTGATGAAATTATGGGCTTGATAAAAGAGAAAATTCTGTGTTCCAACAAAAAAAACTTTGGTTCAACTTCTCATGCTCTTTTCTTTGCCCCCCCCCCTACCTTCCCAAGTTATTTAATATTAGATGTACAAAATAACTGCAGTTATAAAATACCAAGCAAAGATGGGTAGAGAACTTTTTAACAAAAAGGGATTGTTAGCTATTTGTTAATTGTATAAAATTTTTACTTTATGACTTAAGTGATGTTGAACTCTGGAAAATAAGATTATGTAAGCATTTTTAAATTTAAAGAAGATGTATTACAAGCCTTGTTTTAAATAACAAATGCTTAACGCATCAGCTTAATGTAAATTTAATGTCATAAAATTCTCTTTATTCTTTTATTTTTTAAAGACATTAACTTTTTCAAATTACTGCAATAATATTAAGTTACCGCAAAACGAGTTAAATATTGTTTAACTTGTTTTTTATTAATACAAAATGTTTATTTCTTTCATTTTTTTTATATTAAATAATTAAATTTGATATTAAATAAAAAAAAAAAAATTTCATGTAAAAAATTATTTTCCTCAACATTTGTATAAATGAATTAAAATATGTTGATTTAAAAAAAAAAAATTTAACATTTTTTTTAATCTTTAAAAAAAATTGCAACTAAAAAAGATTTTTTATATTAAAAAAATTAGCAAGTAACATAAAAAAATTACGTTAATTTATCTACTTTTATTTATTAAGTTTATTATTTTATAAACGATTTTGTTGTAAAAGCAAAGATTTTCTAAACAACATTTATTAAAAAATAATCACTGCAATTTAACTTGCCATATATAAAAAAAAGTTTAACTTACATTTTGTGCAAACTTTTGATGCAGCCATTTATTTAAAATTTAATTTTGAGTAATAAAAAAATGTTTTGGAAGGAAAACTGAAATAACAATTGGGATAAAGATGAGCTACTTTTTTATTAAGAACAAATTAAATTTAAATATTGAATAACATTCAGAAATAAATTACATTATAATGATCTTTGCTTCAAGCTTAAAGCATTAGCGATTTTCAAGCGAAAAAATCAATCATTATATAAAAAAAAAACAAATTAGGTAGAAATTATTTATTAATATAGAAATAGAAATTTAAGTAAAATTTTTTAATGCAATCAAAAGTTGCATAAGTAATTCTTGTCCTCTCAAGATGATAAATAAAAGTTTTTATTTTATATATTTCTTTTATGTTTTCTTTTAGTTTTTTAATAACTTCATATTAAAAAAACAATAATTGTTACTATAAACAATTTTGTTTTCTGTTCGATAAAAAAATTAGCTTAATAGAGATTAAATTTTTGTAGTTTTTAATTTTTTTCATTAGTAAATAGTGCTTACGTCTAACATAATTGTCATTCAAACTTTTTTACATAATCTTCAAAGTGATTTTTTATAAAATTAATTACTTCTTACCGCTTAATAGAGTAATTTAAAAGTTAAAAAAATATCAAAAGTTGCTTCATAAGTTAAAAAAATATCAAAAGTTGCTTCATAAGTTGCTCTAGGCATACACAATTCAGATGTAAATTGCCGGCAGCTTAACGCTTTAAAACAAGCTCTGGTATTATACAGTTTAAACTATACAGAAATTCAAATAACTTAAAATTTGGTTCATGTAAACCAAAGTTTTTGGTGTTCTGTTTCTTATCATCAACATGTCAAATTGCTAGTTGATGGATATAAGAATTTACATATGATGATAGTTATTGGTGAAGCATATAAGAATTTACATATGATGTAACCTTTGTGTACAAATTTTTAAAAATCATAACCACTTTATAAGCAAAATTTCTAAATCTATTTAAAATATATTTACTTATTAATGGTTGTGCATGACAGTACAAAAGTTTTAAAAGATTTTACAAATGTATGCAAACTAAAGTGCAGTTTCACCCTTTAAGTTTAATGGAACTTTATTGCCATACCCCTTGGCAAGTTACCATGCGGTAGAATTTGAAAACTATAACACTGAAACCATATTTTCACATCAAAAGCCATGTATGAATTTTGTATTTGTAAATTAAAAGTGTTTACATAAAAGGATAAGAATCAACACTGTAATGTAAAGAATAATGAAAAAATTACAATGATGTAACAACTACCTGGCATTTGTAGCTTTCATCAGTTAATAGATCTTGGGGATAGCAGGGATGGGGCATAGAGGTGTAGTACAGACACTAGCTACCACTAATTTAAAATAAAACAAGATATATTTTAACCCGATGCTTCTACTTTAGAAGGTTATGTAGTAGTAATACTAAAATCAACCTGGAATAATGTTAAGTTCCTTTATCCAAAAGTTCTGCAATCAAACTAAAAACTGCAATCAAAATAACTTGTACATTAAAAAGTCTTGTATGTTCATCAATTAACATCTTATATATTTAAGTAACTTTTTTGATTTAATATTAATTTTTTTTTATTATATGTTTAGAAATAATTTTCAGTAATTTCTTGAAAAAGTGTTATATTTTTGAAATTATAGTTTTATATGTTTCTGTTTCAAGGTTTTTTGTGACAAGATCATATGTAACTAAAAATATTAAACAAACAAAAAAATTATTCAGTTGTACTACACTGTACAAAATTACTTTTGTTCAGAGGAGCAATTTTATGAACAAAATGCATTATTAATTAATTATTATACTATGCATTATTTATTGCACAAAACACAAACATATAGTTCAGAAGTTAGGGTGATAATTACAGATAAAGAGTCTCTCTACAAGTTTTACAATTGACAGCATTATCTGGTCTTATGAGGTGGATTTTGTAGTGAATGAGATTTGTCTGCAGTAATCAAGGCAGTTGTTCTGTATGACTGAATTAAAAAGTCTTTTTAAGATGCTCAAGAATCCATTGCAGTTTTTATCATATTAAAACTCTTTTTTTTTTTTTTTTTTATTTGCATTTACTCCCAACAAGGCTGCAAGCAACCACTATTAAGTTGGGAGTTACTAGGAAAAAAAAAAAAAAGAACAGAGTTATAGAGCAAGGAAACGGTTGACCTTCAACTTGAAAAGTTGAAGGTTGTATGAGTCAGGAAAACATGAAGATGGGAGAGAGTTCCAAAGGATTGAAGTGCGGGGAAAAAAACTAGATGAATAAAAGTTTTTAGAGCATGCAGGGACAGATACAGTAAACGAATGAGACTTAGCTGAATGACGAGTAAAACGAGAATGAATTTTAGTTGATGGAACTAGAGATGATAACTCCTTTGAGCAGTGACCATGATAGTATCTGTAGAAAAG